GGCAGGCAGGCAGGCAGAATGGGACACTGTGGATTGAAGCGCGCGCGTGGGGTGGGAGTGGGGGTGAAATTTCCCTCTTAAAATGAAGATGCGTGTTATACGCCTGTGCATGTTATACGCCGATAAATACGGTACTTTTTTCTAAATATAGACCATAACCTACAGACTGTTGACTTCAATGTATTAAATAATCAGGGTAAGTAAGTCAAAATCTGAGACAGACAAATTCTTTAAGAAAAAAAAATAAGTGTAACAACACAATGGTAAAGTACTCAAGAGAATGGAGACAAACAAAGCAATATAAATATAATTCCTGCTACTGGATAGTTGGAAAGAAATTTGTTTTCCCACTTCAAAACACAGTTATAAATTGAAATTTTCATATCACCAGTTAAAAATACAATTTACAGCCCTATTAATCCTCTCCTTAAATAAAACGTGAAAGGTTTCTTCTTACCAAAGAGTAATAAAACAAAGGAAAAGGGAAAAAATAAATATAAAAGTAGTTTTTAAAGAATAAACAGAACAAGACTTTTCTTCTTTTGTAACTGTTTCTACTGAAAAGACCAAACATGTATTTATTTCTTCTTATATAAATTATACAATTAAATCATTTAAATATTTAATTAAAAAAACATACTCATCTCCTGAAGCTGAGACCATTTATTGCAATTGTTATCCACCTTTGGAATATTATGGGGGTATTCTTTCCTAGGAAAAGTCAGTAAAAAGTTGTATTCAGAAAATTTGCAACTATATTTAAAACACATTAAGTCAACAAAATGTTAAAATGTGTTTATATTTTACATTGTAGAAACCTAGAGTATTAAAACCTACACGTTTCCAAATAGTGGCCAAAAGGTTGTGGGAAACTTCTGAACCTTTTATTTTTGACTCCCACTAAATTGTCTGACCATGCTGAAATTTGTTGAATGTCTACCAATTTAAAGTAAGAATCACAGAAAAGCTTATCACAGTAAACACCAATACACATACACAAAATCCCTCACTCATTTACATCTATCCTATGCCCTTTTAAGCTTCTAAAAGAATATAAAGGTGATTTTAGCCACTAAGATTGTCCACTTGATTATTAAATGCTATATCTAGGCATTTAAATGCCATTCGTTGGTAGGTATACAGGTAGCCCTTGACCTACAACCAGTCCATTAGCAACTGTTCAAATTTATGACAATCCCAAAAACTATGACTTATGACCTCTGACATGTGCCCTTCCCCCACTCCCAGTCACATGAACACATTTTGGACACTTGGCAAATGGTCTGCATCTACAACTGATTGACTTAACGACTGCCATGTTCTCTTAACCACTGCAAAAAAGGTTATAAAATCATGTGAAGCTACATGGTGAGCTGCTTTATGACCTTCGTGACTTATGACCAAAATTGTAGGCTTAATGATGATCTTATGTCAAGGACTACCTGTAAAACAAAAGGCTATGAAATAGAAAGTTCCTAATAATATTTATTATCTTTGACTTTCAATCACAACATAAATGCTGTTCCTAATCAATGGGTTCTATCAGTCAGCTTTATAAAATAAGTATGTAGTTATTGCCACTGTTCTGATAAATTCTTTTGTGTGAGGAGAAAAGCATATTATTTCCATATTTCGGGGGGACACGAACTCTCATTATGCAATTAATGTGAAAATACCCATAAAATAAGATGTTGACATTTTAAAGATATCAATAGAAACAAAAAGTTTGCAGCAGTGCAATAACTATCTCTTCAGAAAAAAATTCTGATTGAGTGAAATGCACTAAGATACTTGAAATAGTAAACAGAATCTTATGTTACAATAGATAATGGAGGGGGGGGGAGAGGGAGAAAGATTACATCCTCAAATTACAAGGTTTCTTTCGCTATTTATATTTTAATTTCTGGCAGTCAGTTTGTCCATAATCACCTGAGCTATTATGAATTTTAACTTTTAAAACAAATCAGACATTTTATTGCCTAACTATCCCTTCTGTCAGCATGCCAAACTTAATAAAACCAGAAAGCTTCTATCTGCCTTGTCCAGTACATGATTGAACTAGATTTTCTAACCTGTTCTAAAGTAGCAAGGAACCAAACGCTAAGAACAACTGCTGTTTAAATTTCTGGTTTGTCAAGAGAACAATTTGGAGGAAATGCTGAATAAACCACAATGTAAGTCTTTCTGGTTGGTTTAGCTATGTCTCCCAGAATAAAAATTTCAATAGAAATAATCTTATAGAACTGACGCACAGATTGATCACTATCTATAAAGCCTGAATTCTCAGCAATTTAGCATATTGTTGTACATGAATAAGACTCTCTTTATTAAGATATTACTAGGTGCAAAGCACATATTTTAGGATAAAATGGAACAGAAAGTTGATACTGCATGTTATATTCTTTAGCTATCTAAGATTCACTGTTATACTTATATTCCTTATAAGTATAAAATTTTGGAGAAATAACCATGAATACTAAACATAGAACTAAATGCTCACTTGCCACTCTTATCTATAGGACAAATATAAATCTTAAAAATAACCAGCTTATTATTTATTTAATTTTAGCAGATAAAATAATAATTGCCCAACAATTAAAAATAACTTTAGATGGCAGGAACCACTACTCTATTGAATTTTGATAAACTTTATATTTTATCTCAATTGCAATAGACTTATTGCAGGCAATACTTTAGATGTATGGTGAATAAAACGATGTATATTTTCTGCCTATCTTCCTTTAAAAAAACTCTTTTCTCTATGCATCATGGATTTATGTCAGCTACTTGATAATGTTTATTAATCAGTTTGATAAATATATGAAAAATAAATGGGTAACTATTTTTAAAAAAACTGCTCATTTAAAGTAGTTCACCATAAACTTCTGCTTTATCATTAATCTATGACACTTTGCAAATACATTTCATATACTAGACAGTTATATCATTTTAAAGATGCAACAAATGAAATTCTATGTACCTATTCTTCACAAATAATGGGCAAGTCTACTGCATATCTGACAGTTACATTTTGCTTAACTTTAGGAAAATTTTAAAAAATTGAAGAGTATATTAAAAATGACACTTGCAAAGACTTAAGATACTTCACTGCAGACTAAAGAAGAATACGGTTCTCTGTGGCTAACATCTATCACTTTTCAAATATCCAAAAAAGAGAGACTTAAGTTCCCTCCCCACAATTATTGTGACATATTCAATGGCTATAAGAAGTTATAATGCAATGCTTCTAGCCCTTACATGTCAATAGTATATTACTATTTCCTATGATTATGTTTGTCATCTCAAACAAACAAAGGATAGTGGGTTAAGCCATGGTTGTTGAATTTAACACAGAATGCTTAATCAATTGCACTTAAGTTAAAAAAGAGTGAAGCTTCCAATCTTACTGCACTGTACTGAAGGATGAAGCATATAGGGTTTGAGTTCTTTATGGTTCATTCCTAGTTGTAAGGAAGTATGGAGATAGACTTCAAGAAGAAATTCAATAGCCATTAAACAAAACACTCATATGGCCCAGAATGAGAGAAGGGGGCTGAAAGAAACTCAAGATTACCTCACCTAGATTATCTTTGGTATAATATGAGGGAACAGAGAATCCCTATTTCTCAGAGTTCCAATAGTTCTTCCAGAATTTATTTCCCACTCAAAGAGCTGACAAAACAGTAAAGGGTTCTCCGGTCCAGTCATGTTCCCTGTACCAACTCTAGGGGGCTGTGCTCATCTCCATTTGTTAGCCAAGGGAGCCAGCATTCTCAGAAGACATTTTCATGATCATGTGGCCAGCATGACTGTTCACCAAGATGCACAAAATGCCATTAGCTTCCCACCAAAGTGGTGCCTATTTATCTACTTGATTTCCATGCCTTCAAACTGCTAGATGGGCAGGAGCTGGAGCAAGTAATGGGAGCACACTTTATTACATGGTGCTTGGTTCTGGAACCCAGGCTGTCAGCTTTCCAGTCAAATTCAACATCGTTAACTGCTGAGCTACCACACCTCCCAAAGGGCTGACACTACAATCATTCATATATATGTGTGTGTTTGTATGTATGTATATCTGTAGCTCTCCTAAAGACACTAAAACATGAATATATATTGGCCAGATTTTACATAAAGAGCAGACACTGTAGTACAAATAGTGCACGAAAGTAAAATGTGGTCAATGTGTATTCATATTCTAGTACATTTAGGAGAGCTATGCTTACTATGAATCCCCATGGTTATTTTGAATGCCCTATTAAAAAGAAGATTGACTAGGAAGAATAGCATAATCAATATAATTTAGCAAAGCAGGAAAAACTGATCTAAGATTTTTATCGCGCAATTGGCAGAGATATTCTGGTCTTCAGTATGACATGAACTGTGGAAGAGTCTACTTTATCGATATTTGAAAGTATCATTGTAGTTTCTATTTAAAATGTTATTCTTTTCTAGGTATGCTTCTCAGAGTAATATTATTTCATAATCTTTAATTTATCTGTCATTATATCTAATCTTTACTATGGGTGGCAGTGATAGTATTTTTTTAATATAAGCCAGTAAAAAAAAGGTAAAGAACTCCTGTGGATTTTATTCCTCTAGTCATTGCCAACTATAGAGGGCTGTGTTCATCTCTGTTTCAAGTCCATTGAGCCTGTGCTGTCCAAAGACATTTCCGTAGCCATGCTACCAGCATAACATCACACTCAAGTGGTACCTATTTATCTACCTGCATTTGCATGCTTTCAAACTGCTAGGTTGGCAGGAGCTTTGGCGAGGATAGGAGCTCACTCATTGGATGGCACTGTCTCGAACCTGGGTTGCCAGCTTTCCAGCCAACAAGCCCAATGCCTTAACCACTGATCCACCATGCTACTCCATTATAAGCCAGTGATGGAAATAATTTCTGCTTGAGATCATACAGTACTTTTCCAAATGTGTACTGTACATTATTGTCCCCTACAAACAAATTAGGGCATGTCAAATTTTCCAACTCTCAATTTCCAAATATTAGGGGCGCTCAAAAGTTGCAATATGCCTTGGGAATTGTAAAGATATTTTGGTTATTTTAATATAATTTAGATGTGCTTGGTAAGCAATTACATAAATATCATAACATTTTAACACTTATTCAGAAGCTTATTTTAATATCCACAGCATTTCCAATATCCACAGCAAATGATAGGATACATTCTCAAACTTGGCATGGGAAAATGCATATTCATATAAAATCAAATACATTGTTTGTGAAATGTCCAACCTAAACCAATACATTTAAAACTTTATTCTAAAATCTTTATCATAATTGATGTGAAGAAGCTCATAAAAGGGGAATCAAAATATTCCTTTCAGGTAAATTGAAATAAAATTAATAATATAGTTTGAAAAATGTCACATTTATATAACAGCAAACACATTTTGTAATGTGAGCCAGACTATGTTACAAAATTAGTAACTTAATTAATGTAAATTAATGTACGAAAATAGAGGTTTTCAGGTATCTAGGAGCTTTAGCAGTGACACCATTTTTTAAGGTAAAGAATTAAGTAAGATGAATACTTCAGAACTAACCTCTAAACTTTGTTATTACTGCTGACAAGATAGGACCACACTATTAGTCATTGTAATGAGCTACCAGAAGCTGGTAAAAAATAATTAATAGTCTGATGATATTAAGGAAATAGTATTACCACAAAACATCTCTTTATCCAAAACTTAATTAGGTAATCAGGACACTTTACCAGAAAACTAACCAGCCCCTAAAATATTCTACCAGTGAGCTCTTTGTTGGCTACAATTACATGGCTGAAGAAACATGATGATAAGAGGCTAATTGAAGATGGTTTGCAATATGACACGTTGCAATTTATTTAATTAAAGAAAAGGATCTTTAAAAAAGAGCAAATAGATCAAGAAGTCTGGGGGGCATCAACAGAAGTTTAAGGCTGCACTGGTCCCCCCCCCCCCCCCCCCCTGCTCCAGTGCCTACCAAACCACAAACCTACCAAACTTTGGAAGTCATTTTGTCCTGCTGAAGTACACTTTTACCAACTATCTAAACCTTTAAATGATTATGATTCTAAATTATAAGCATCTCCATCACATTAAAGATTATTTCTTACTTCCAATGTCATATGTCCTTCAGATCATAACTAATTCACCAAATTTTGTGCCAAGTTGGAGTCACCATCTATATTTTCCATATCAAGGCAGAATCTAAAGGCAACATTTATTCTTAATTTCAAATTCCTAATATGCTTTGACTAAAAGCAGTAAAATGGGACATGTGAAATGGTGTGCACTGGCACACTTGCTTATTCAAAATAAGCCAGAAGCCTAAACAACTTAAAGTTATGAATAGTAAATGTAATCAGAGCTGATATTGGTTGATAATCCTGTCTCATTTACTATCCGAGGTAAGAAAAATCCATTCAATAGTGCTAGAAAATAATATTTCTACAGTATTCTCATTATCATGTCCATTTCACCTTGTGCTTACCTTTCTTTTAGATCCCGATTGCTTAAAATATGAAAGAGAGAAATATTGTAAGATACAAAGCCCTTCAATATGAGTTCTTTAAAATGTGCTTTTAGAAACCTATATTGTAACATTTAAATCAAATACAGAACCTTCATTAAGTAGCACTAAACTTACATGTTTAAATAAGGGAATTTAAACCTAAACCACAACCAGATGCAGTTATCACCTGATTGTCTCATGATCACCTGATTGACTCATTTGAAGGAGTAAATTAAATGACCTGCTGCAATGAGCAAATTTGGAGTTACCAGCTCCTCCTGCATAAAGCTAGATTAAAACAGAAGAGTATAACACATTCTTTAAAAGCACTCCACTGATCTTAAAGCAGAAAGCCTAATGCAAACTTCCAGGAAAAGGCTGGTAGGTAGGGATAATAAGCCATCCTTCAAAGCTAATTTTTTTGCAGTGAGCAAAAACCTTTAGACATGAGATTTTTAACTGGTGGCTGATTAATAAAAAAGGAAAAAGAACACAATCTTATTCCAACACTATTTTGTCCTATTCTTCTGTCCTTGTAACTATCTCCCCTAAAATTCTGCTTTATTACAAGAAAAAAATATATAATCTGTTCTCTGCCACCAAGTGCAATCTCATCCACTGGAATGGGTCTGCAATATATAGACAAAATAACTGAAAGTTGTTCATTCATACATATATATTTATTTTTAAAAATGAAGTATTTTAAAGAAACTACCAACATAAGCCAAACAAGCTAAGATATCTTTAATAGTGATAGTGGAAAACATACTTTTTTCTTTATATGTGTAAGAAAAACTCTGTTGGATCACATTAAAGGATTCTCTGAAGCTTACAGTAGGACATGAGTATGGTTCTTGATGCATTCTTTTCTAATACTGCCAAATTACAAACAAGGCTGAAAATAAAATCGCCAAACAAATTTTAGAAAAGTAACTCCTATATTAAACACATGTCTAGTCATGAAATAGCAATCTGCCACAAATCAAAATGCCATCACTGTGTCCCTATTATAACATTAAAAACTGGAAATAACTTTCATAAAGATTCACAAACATTCAAAAACATACAAATGGAAAACAATTTCAAAACCACATTCTTGAACAAGCTGTAGGCCATACAGCATGTTACAACTTCAAGTTCACATATAAAGCCGTAAAAAATACAAATCTTTAAAGTCAGACTTCAACCAACAAACATAAACACTATTTTTGAGAAGATCAAAATTAGAATGAATATATTATAGAGCTCGACAGGTAAAAGCAAAAAGATTAGAAACCAATATCAGACATAGTATAAGATAGAATTTTCAAAACTATTTTTTGTTGCAAGGAAAAGTTAAAGTACTAAAGTTGTCCAGGATTATTCAACAACTTTAAATTCCACAGGTTAGGAATTCTGAATACTTCAACAATTAAAGCCTCTATAGTACTGTATTGGGTGATACGTGAACAATGAAAGTATAATAGCAGGAGAAGCTAATGGAAAAAGGAAAGTTCCCCCCCAAAAAAGAGATACTAAAAGCACAACTGAAAATAATTTAAATGTCAAATTAATGGAGCCAACATGGATACCCGAAGAACTTAATGAAGAGCTGAATCAAACAAACAAAATGGCTATATATAGATGAAAGAAATGTTACTAAAATCAACACAAACAGCTAGCACAGAACTTTAAAGAGGAAAGCTACAGCTCAGAATCAGTGGAACCTGGCAAACAAAGCTTAAAATCATAAAGAAGAAAGCCTTCTTCAGATATACTCAACATTCAAAAAGGATACAAGAATATATCAGTTGCTCAGTTAAGAAGGAAAAATGTAAAGAGACCAAAAGGAAGGCAGATTAACTAGTATTTTGGCTTCTGACTAGAGAGTATATATCCTACCCTATTGAGAAATCATGAAGAACAGGATGAAAGATGGAACTCTGAGATAGAAATATATTCAGAGATACTTGTCAATCTTGAATAAATTTAAATCTTCCAGTTCAAAGGAAATAAATTTTAGGATAATAACTAAACTTGCTGATAACTTCAGGTAAATCCTGATATAGTACACTATCTTTAATAAATCCAGAATAACTGGAAGGTGCATTTATCCCTTTTTTTTAAAAAAAGGAGAACAACTGAGCCAAGAAACTACAGATCTGTCTGTCCGACATCAATAACAAAGAAAATTCCAAAGAGATTATTTTATAGATAGAATTCAGTAATTCATACGTATCATACATAAACCTTGCTGGACTAATCTTTTCTCATTTTCGATCAAGTAAGTTCCATAGCAGACTGTAGTGGTGCTGCAGACATAATGTATCTTATTTTCAACAAAGCATCAGACAAAGAACTTCATGGCATTCTCATTAACAAGCTGGTTAAAGGGAAGGCCAGTCAGATGAATTCTAAGTGGATACATGGCTTACTGAACATTGCTCATCAATAGTTCTTCCACAAACTGGAGTGCAGTAACAGGTGGTATCACTATACTAAACTAGCACATTTAGTCTAGAGAGAAATAACTGAAGGGAAACCTGATATCAGTGTTCAAATATCTGAAAGGCTGACTCAATTCTTTAAGTTCTGCATTGCCCAAGAGGACAGGACTATTATCAACAGATTATTATTACTATTAAGGAAATAGGATCAAATCAGACATTAGAAGAAATTACCCCAAAAGATGTCCCAAAGGTGCTTTTTCAGGAGGCAACTAGACTTGTTTTTCTTCTGAAGACATTTTACTTCTCATCCAAGAAGCTTCTTCATCTGTGATAGAATAATGGGGAATGGAAGGATTTATATCCCAAGCACCTTTGGGTATCCCAAAACCTTTGGGACAGCCATGACCTGGATGACTGAGAATCTCTACAGATGTTTAGCTATACAATTTGGGATGAACATCCTTTGAATGATGTGGGAGTAGGAATGGATTTCCAGAGGAAAAACTGCAGACTACAGGAACCAGGAGCATCACTCAGATGACCCCGAGGACACAGATAAACCTCCAAGTGCTTCAATGACCCTCTGAATAAAAGGATGCCGATTACCAGCTGTCTGCAAGGAATATAAATCCTTCCATTCCCACTATCTAGTCAGAACTGAAGAAGCTTTTTGGATGAGAAGCGAAACTTCTTCAAAAGAAAAAAAGGAAGTCCAGTTGCCTCCTGAAAAAGCACCTTTGGGACAACCATAACCTGGATGACTGAGAATCTCTACACACTTTTACCCAAAAAAATCAGCTTTCAGCAAGAGGAATAGATTTCCATATGAAGTGGTTACTTCTCTTTAGTTAAGGTTTTCAAACAAAGGCTGGATTATCATGTATCATAGATACTGTAATCCATCCTGCATTGAGTGCGGGGGAGGGTTGACCTAGATGACCTCAAATACCCCTTCTAAGTCTCTGATTCTATGAATAGCAAATTATATTTAAATACTGAGTATAAATTACACAAAAGACAAACCTAGTAAAGTCAGACTGGCGGTCTATGACTTTTAGAACTTACTTTTGTGCTGCTGTTTTTACTCGTGTTTGTGTGTGAGGACAAAAATGTCTGACTTGTCCTTCTGAATCTGAACAGGATATATTTTCAGCATTTACACTGCAAACATAATAATAAAACAGAAAAAGTATTATTATTATTATTCACAACAGGACCGAAATAGTTTTAAATAGTTTTCAGTCATTTTATTCTCTAAATGAATGAATGAATCAAAGCTTCCACAACACTGTCTAATCATAGCTATTGCTTAAGTGCTTAATTTGTAGCAACTGGCAGCCAGTAAAAGAAATATGAAAGATCCTGATGTTCTACTGCTAGTATAGTAGGATGAAAAAGCTTCTTTAAAAAGTTGCAGTGTCAGTGTTTTATTCTCTCTCAACACACACTCACACACAAAATAACAACCTGTTTCATAAATTCATTCTTAATAACTAAATAACAATTGGAAATTCAGTATTATTGGACATTTGAGCACTAAACCCAGAGATTTAAATTCTTACTTACACTATTAAAACTATTTAATGAAGTTAAATGCAACAATGTTTTCCAAGATTAATTTTTAATCAAAGAAATGCTAAGCATTATCTGTACAGGAATCCTTATAAATATTTCTGAACCATTTTTTAGTTTTGCTTCTTTTTCTTTAAAACAGTAAGTAAAAAAATTAAAAGAAAAAATAAAATCTAGTATTAGAACAAATTTGTCCATTTCAAAAATCTAGTTAATAATTTTGGTGATGATGATCACAGCAAATATGTTAGGAAATATTCTGGGGAAATGGGCAAAGGAAATTAAAAATGGTAAAAACAAAAGAGTTGTGTAGCTGTGGTACTAATTATACAATTTTTACTGGGTATGATTTTTATTGATACTGTTTTTCCATCTTGATCATAACTTGAAAGACAACATTTGCAGATCCTCCCCCAAAAACATCCAAAAATCAAACTATTTGAATTCATCTTGTTCACTTGAAGAATATATAAAACTAACTGCTTAATTTCACAGTACAAGGAAAATACTAAAGCTATAATTTGGTTTTAATTTTCAATTAGTAAAGATTTCCAGGGCAGAATTTCTTTTCTTTTGAAGTGTAGAAGGTAAAGACATAAAAATCTGTTAGGATTTTAAACACGATTGGTGAATGTAAGCTATAACGATGACCACAGGAGGAGACTCTACTGATGAAATCAATATAATGAAGTAGGGATGTGCCAAATTTATCAAACCAGAGAATTTTGTATTGATCCAGAACAATTTAATTGTTTGCAGAAACCACAGAACTACTACCAAATTGGCATAATTTGAGAAGACATTTATGGCATGGTTTGGAAGGAAATGCATCATTCCATTTCATTCCAACATTCTCTATATATAGTGTTCCTATGTAAGATAAAGTTTGCAAATCCTTTTTCTGAGGCAATTGAAGGAAAAGAGGAACTGGTAAGATATAAATGCTATGGGCACAAATATGCTAACAGTACGTGAATGGAGAACCATTTAATGGCAATATTAAAATAGGAGATAGCCCCCAAAAACATAGAGATAAGACAGGGTAATTCTGAAATAGGCTATTGTCAATATATTACATATACAACCTCCAGTGATTACAGAAAAAGAAGTGCAAGATCTATTATACAGACAGAAGCCAGGAAAAGCACCAGGGCCAGACAAGATACCGTATTTGCCGGCGTATAAGACGACCCGGCGTATAAGACGACCCCCCACCACCACCGGAAACGCCCTCCAGAAATCCCCGGGGCTGCAGCGGCAGGGCGGAGTGCCAGGGGCCATGGGAAGAGCAGGAAGGCTGCAGCCTCGGGCGGAGCGAGGCGAGCGGGATGAAGCGGAAGCGACGCAGGGGATCTGGGAAGCCAGAGGCGCCTTCGCTGCGTCCAACAAGCATCCGAAAGCCGGCAGTGGATATACCGGTGTATAAGACGACCCCCCCACTTGGAGGCATGTTTTTCGGGGCAAAAAAGTCGTCTTATACGCCGGCAAATACGGTAACTCCTTCTTGCTTAAAAGTCTGTGCTGACCAATTGGCCCCCATCTTCACCTGAATCTTCAACAGATCATTAGAGATGTGCTATGTTCCTTCCTGCTTCAAATGTTCTACCATCATCCCAGTGCCAAAGAAGCCCTCCATCAAGGAACTGAATGACTACAAACCAGTTGCTCTAACATCTGTAGTTATGAAAATCTTTGAAAGGCTTGTGCTGTGCCACCTGAAAACCATCACGGATCCACTGTTAGATCCCATGCAGTTTGCATACCGAGCAAACAGATCAACAGATGATGCTGTTAACATGACTCTGTATTACATCCTACAAAACCTTGAATCTCCAAATACCTACGCAAGGGTCCTCTTTGTAGACTTCAGTTCAGCATTCAATACCATCATTCCAGACACTCTTCTAAGTAAATTAAACCAACTAGCAGTAACTGAACACACTTATAAGTGGATCATAAGCTTCCTAACAGTCAGGAAGCAGCAGGTGAAGCTAGGCGGAATCACATCCGATACCTGTACAATCAGAACAGCCCCCCCCCCCCAAGGCTGTGTGCTTTCTCCACTTCTCTTCTCCCTATATACCAATGACTGCATCTCAAACGATCCATCTGTTAAAATACTGAAGTTTGCTTATGACACAACAGTGATTGGTCTCATTCGAGACAACGATGAATCTACATACGGACAGGAGATCATACAACTTGCCTCGTGGTGTAACCGGAACAATCTGGAACTGAACACACCCAAAACTATAGAAATGATGGTAGAAATGGTGGGAAGAAACCCTTCTATATTACCACCTCTTACAATACTAGATAACACAGTATCAACAGTAGAGACCTTCAAATTTCTAGGTTCTACTATATCACATGACCTAAAATGGACACCTAACATCAAAAACATCATCAAAAAAGCACAACAAAGAATGTTCTTTCTGCACCAACTCAGAAAGCTCAAACTGCCCAAGGAGCTGCTGATACAGTTCTACAGAGGAATTATTGAGTCTATCATCTGCACCTCTATAACTGTCTGGTTTGGTTCTGCAACCCAACAGGACAGACACAGACTTCAGAGGATAATTAGGACTGCAGAAAAAACAATTACTACTAACCTCCCTTCCATCGAGGACCTGTATACTGCACGAGTCAAAAAGAGGGCTGTGAAAATATTTACAGACCCCTCACATCCCAGACATAAACTGTTTCAACTCCTACCCTCAAAACGACACTATAGAGCACCGCACACCAGAACAACTAGACACAAGAACAGTTTTTCCCCAAAAGCCATCACTCCCTCAACATTGTTCAACTATTTACAAAGTGTACACTACTATTAGTTAATCTTCTCACCACTCCTTATCACCCATCCCCTCCCACTTGACTGTTTCCTAGTATGATTTTATTGTTGATTTAACCCTATGACTACCATTAAGTGTTGTACATTACGATTCTTGATTCTTAACAAATGTACCTTTTCTTTATGTATACTGAGAGTATTTACACCGACAAATTCCTTGTGTGTCCAATCACACTTGGCCAATAAAGTATTCTGTCTATCTATAATTTTGGGGGAATCCTAAAATATATTTTATCAAAAATTTTCAATGCAACTGATTTTTGTTCAAATTTAAATAGCATTAAGCAAGGAACAATTGCTTTTAAATATTTACATCTATATAGTATTTACGAAGCCTGATTTTTTTAGCTCAAATATTTAAAGCCAATACACAATGGTACACTGCAACAATTAATATAAAGTTTTAAAGTTTATTAAATTCAAGAAAAATAAATTATACATTAACTCATTTGTTAGATAGCATTTTGAAAACTTGTCCTCTTTCTCCTTCAACCAGAGCACGAGCAAGATTGTGGCTGTTCTGGTTGGAAGGGAAAGAGAACAAAATAGTGTTTTTATTTTCATAAGAATTGGCATAGGCCATGCTACAAAGTTTAAAAAACAATGCTCTTGGAATTAAAAAAAAGATGCAACAATGGCCTAGGTCAACATTTTCTGGAAAGCAGGCATCAAACCTGTAATATATATTCCATTGTTAGAAAAATGTGGCCATAACTCTTATTTAAAAGCACACCAAAAGCAATTAGTGTAGCATAATACTATTGAAACAGATAGTCTAGAATAGATTAAGTCTAACTTTGTCCCTTGCATACTGTGATTTTTCATCATACAACTCCACATAGCAACTAAAGATACTGGCAACAGAAGATAGATATTGAAATATATAACTATATCTAAAAATGTCACATAACTTTACAGAAACAGAATGAACAGATAGGAGTGCACTATTTGTGCTATTAAAAAATCAAGAGAGAAAAATTTCCACTTTCCAACTAAAGCTTACAGTGTACCCAATGATGTCTGCACTGTTATCAAAAGAACTGCCTGTGAATATATCTTCTGTTGCCAGTATCTTTGGATAATTTGGATAATATTTGAATATTATAATAGATGTGTTTTTATACTTGTTTAAAATACATCAGCAAAGTAGAAACAGCTGAACAGTGTTAGCAGCACTCTCATAACTAACATTTCCTCCAGACATACACCACAAATTAAACAATTTTGAGATCATCTGAAAAGCACTACACCATATTTTCTTGCTGCTCCCCGATACGTTAAGTCCAGTTGTGATGCTTTTTAAATTTCCAAGAGTGTCACTTTTGTTTCGTCTGCTGTATGTCCTTAAGGCATCATTTCTGGCTACAAAACCTAAGCGATGGCGACATGGCTGAAATAAAACAACATAAACCATCATATCAAAATACGAAATTATACTTCAGTCAAGCTTTCATATACTAAAACATTTTCAGGCCTTTTCACACTGTCTCAAATGTCCCCAAACTGGAAGTTCTTGGTCAAATAGTAGGATTAAAAGTTTCCAAATGGAATACTTTTTACATCTTGTATTTTAAAGAAATTGTATGCTGGCCAGGAAATTGGGGGTAAAGAGTTGACTACTGCACATAAGTAGCCCTCGAGTTACAATCACAATTGAGTCCAAAATTCCTGTTGCAAGCGAGACAGTTTTTAAATGAGTTTTGTCCCAGTTACAACCTTTCTTGTCACAATTGTTAAGTGAATCACTTCAGTTGTTAAATTAGAAACACGGTGAAATAAATCTAGCTTTCCCATTAACCGCTGGTCAGAAGGTTGCAAATGGGGACCACATGATTCCAGGACACTGCAACCATCATAAATATAAATACCAGTTGCCAAGTGCCTGAATATTGATCACGTGACAATGGGGATGCTACAATGATCGATATGAGCCACAGTGGTGCAGTGGTTAAAGTGCAGTACTGCAGGCTACTTCTGCAGACTCCAGGCTGCAATGTGGCAAATCTCACCAGGCGCAAGATTGACTCAGCCTTCCATCCTTCCAAGGTGGGTAAAATGAGGACTCAGATTGTTGGGGGCAATAGGCTGACTCTGTAAAACTGCTTAGAGAGAGCTGGAAAGTATTATAAACCGGTATATAAATCTAAGTGCTATTGCTATCATAAGCATGAAAAATGTCATGTCACTTTTTTCAGTGTCATTGTAACTTTGAACAGTAACTAAACAAATGGTTGTAAGTCGAGGACTATCTGTATTTGAGAAATTAATAAAAAAATAAATCCACAAATTTAGTTAATGTTTAGGTTGGCGTGAAAAGTAAAAATAATAACAAGCTACCATCTACAAATACATTGGATATATTCACATATTATCAATAATTTTCACTGAAATCAAAATAAGCTATGTTATGAGCTAGTACTATATGCAAATAAATTGTCAAGTGATCTGGCATTTTTGATAAGACAATGAATTACTGATTTCTTGACATTATCTATTCCACAACACAAGCATATATACCATTGTAAACAAACATAGTAACTGTTTCTTAATTTCCAAAGAAAATAGAGAGTTTTTCGTCATTAATTAAGGTGGCAAGTCAAAGATTACATCACAATTAGCTTGGAGTAAATAGATGTAGGCTTTCATGTGACAGGGCATTTGTACAGTGAATAAATGTACATTATATTTTATATACTCACTTTTATTTCACCATTGGGACTGCAAGTTTCATCGCTTTCATCAAATATCAACAAATTGGCTTCACTACATAAGAGGAAAAATAATTTAAATTTTGATCAACTGACTTATAGATTAAGAGAACAAAATCAGGTTTCAACAATTGTTACAAAATGTTCACATTTCAAAGAATATTTTCATTTGATTTTTTTCTCTAGGCTAACAGCACTATTTTATTTAAAGATTAAGTTTATATAGAATTTTATTTCAAAAATAGGACTCATAACATTCAACATTTTAGCATTGGAGACTTCAAAACTGTAATGTATATAATATCCTCCCAAATCTTTATTTCTCTTTCTTACTTATTTGACAAGTCTAACATTGTTGCTGTATTGTAGTCTTTCAATAAAACTCAGTGTTGGGAGGGGGATCTTCTGCAATTGTCGTTGTCCAAGGGCAGAGTGTGTGTGACTGGCACCTACCTGATTTCCAATGTAAGTCAATATCAATGCTAGAATGAGTTCTTCCCAGTTTCCAGCCCAGTGCTTTAACTCTACACCATACCGCTTTAAAATTACTTCACAGCAATAAATTAATCAATGCAATCCAAAAACTGAAAGCTGCTTTAGAGCAAAACATAAGGAAGCAACAGCAGGGAGGGAAGGGAAAAAAGCAGGCCCTCCTAGTGACCTGAGAAAAAGAAATGTGCAACCATATGAGCTACCTGGGTAAGGAGAATGCTGAAATCACTGTTCTCATTAGGCCAGCATGATGCAAAGCCATAGCCCTAAGATAGCAAGTTCAGCTAAAATCTTGAGGAAGCATCCAGGGAGCAAAACAGTTCATTCAAATACATACATACATACATACATACATACATACATACATACATACATACAT